AGACTTGTAAGCTCTATGGGGGCAGGGACTGATGTGAATGAATAGTATGTAAAGTGTAACATAAATTGAGCGTGCTATTTAAATACCTGCAATAAACAGCAGGTAGGTGGACTCAATGTTCTGGAACATCGTTTATGAACGCCACTGCAGAGACCTTACACAGACTGCCAGTGTACCCTTCGAATGCCTGTGATCAAGCTGTCATTAGACAGCACACATCAAAAGCAAAATGCACATAATCATTCAGAGACTCTGTGCCTTGTGATTGCTTTAAACCAATTCTAAAAAAATAAATAAAGTCACAGTCCTCAACTTCTGCCTTTGCCAGTGTTGCTTTTCCTTCAACTGCTTCTGAAAGTAACAAATGCTCCCACTGAAGAGGGGACACTAAACTACAAACGGGGCACACTGAGCAGCAAGAGGGTACACTGACCAGTCATTGAGGGGGGGACGGGGGCACTGTGGGGAAACTTCACTGCTGGGGCTCCCAAGAGATGTAAAAAAGCTGGCATTTGAGTGATTCAACCTGTTCCTCCAAACTCCAAACTGAAAGCACTTTTCTGTAGCATTATCCATTGAAAAGTTAAACTTGCTTTACAGGTCTATATTTCATTCTTCTTTACTACATAATTATGTAACAATTTTTATTGCATAAACCTGGAAGGGGCATATTTATTCTCAGTCATCTATCATGGAGATAAGAGAGTACACATTTATTTTACTTAATCCATTTGAGCCTTTCATTAAGCCCTATAAAATTAAAAAGTTCAAATCATTTGTATTTTTTTCTTTTGAAGTGGTTGGCTCAAACATCTTATTAAATGTTTTGCTGTCGTTTCAATAGTGTTTCAAAGAAATGTGGGCACAGTCTTACACACAGATATAATTCAATGAAATCTGTTAAGGACTCGTTTTCCCAATGTCCTAGTAAAGGCCTGGATAGCATCAAAGCTTTGATGCTTTGATGCTTTTTGGATGGCAAGGCCAGACTAAAGCCTAAGCAGATCAAACAATCCCGCTGGAATATTGGGACATACAGAGAGACTCTTGTTATTTTTGGCAACTACCTTTCACGCTGACTAGTCTTCAGGAAACATCACATTCAAATGTATTATAATACGGAATACATTTGGAAGTAAAGCTATTCCATTATGCTGCAGAGAGAAAATAGTTACAGTATAATAAAATCAGGCATATCACTATCTCTTTGTGCTTAGTTTGGCACATTTTTTGATGGACATGTTTAACTTTGAACATATAAAAATAGATTTTTGTACTTACTGTAAATACTCAGTCTTTTGAGGGACACAGGGATTCTGAAACAGTACAGTTATAGTTTCCCACCTACAGGAGTTTTGAATATTGGCAAAATATTCTTCAAAAAATATGAAAGGCGAGCCCCCATATAACCCCGCCTCTTACCACTACGCCTCAGTTTTGTGAGCAAGCAGTTCACAAGGCCATTAAACAGAGGGGTAGAACCTATGTATTTTCGTTAAATATTTGTTTCTCTTGATCGTACATCAAGAGACAAACTAATTCGAAAATTCTAAAACCAAGGGGTGGATAACAGTCACTAACAGATCGAGGCTAGAACCAGAACCCATCTATAAACAATCAGAAGAACCAATGCCTCAATCTGTACCAGAAGATGTGAAGTTCTCATCTGAGCAG